TATTCATACAAGATCTGATAAATCAGGTTTAAAAGTGTGAAATATTCATTGATCAATAAGATATTGACAAAAATTTAGTTTCAATTCCTTAACAGTTTCAATACATTTTTAATACAACTTTACATATACATGAAAAGATGGTACATATAAGATGCAAGTGCATATTTAGTGCATATTTATCCTACAGACAATGTTTTGTTTATAGGTTTGAGATTTCCTTGTAATACCTGCAAGGTGAAAACCAGAATAGGTGCTTATCATAGATTTCAATAATTAGGATTTCCATTGCTTCATCATAAATTGATGAAATATTATAGTATTGTGGATCAAAAAGTAGCATAGAAAATGCCACATTCTAATGACTTTTTTCACAGACTATGTGAAAGTGTTAGTTGCTCAGTCCTGTCCAACTCTTTGTGACTCCATGGACTGTAGCCTACCAGGCTCCTCTGTCCATGGGATTCTCCAAGCAAAAGTACTGCAGTGGGTGAAAAGTGAAAGTCTCTCAGTTGTGTCTGACTCTTTGTGACCCCATGGACTATACATTCCATGGAATTCTCCAGGCCAGAATACTGGAGTGGGCAGCCTTTCCCTTCTCTAGGGGATCTTCCTAACTCAGGGATTGAACCCAGGTCTCCCTCATTGCAGTCGATTCTTTACCAGCTGAGCCACAAGGGAAGCCCACTGGCACGGGTAGCCATTCCTTTCTCCAAGGGCTCTTCCTGATCCAAGGATCAAACCCAGGTCTCCTGCATTGCAGACAGATTCTCTACCGTCTGATCTACAGAATATAACCAAATACAATCTCTTCTTTTCAATGGCACACCTCCTTTGGATAGGATATCAGGCTTAGTGATGTGAGGAACAGGAAAGGAAGGAATAGATACTAGTCCTGCCTTCAAGGCATTTACAATCCAGTAAGGGAGGCGATACATTTAAATAGATAACTAGGCCACACTGGAGTGAAAGAATGTGGAGGGTGGGTATGAAAGAAAAGTGCTGAAGACAGTGTGTGTGTATGTTTTAATGCTGTGAGAGACTGATTTCAGAGAGATGATTCTGGCAGAAATGGTTTATGAGATAAGCCTTGAAACACTTGGGGTTTCACAGGGAGAGACAATGAAAGAGCTTTCTAGGCGATAGGAGCGTAAGGGCAAAGGCAAAATGCTCTGTTGCTGAATACAGTTCAGGCTGATCTACACAGGGCTGGGGAATAGGGGTGGAGACAAGACACTGAGGCTGCTGGATCCTGACCTTAGGCTAAGGGGTCTACCTTAGATGGACAGAGAGAAAGGATCTGGGGTTACTTCACAACTAATACAGTTGAGCCTTGTATTAGTTGTAAAGTAGTTGAAAACTTAACTTTTCCTAGTCTCATTTGGAGATTGGGGGTATAATAACAGGGCCTGCTCTGGTGTTGATCTGAGGATTAAACAGTTTAATTCATGCACAGTACTCAAGCCAATACCTGGCACAAAAAGATCAGCAGCTACCACTGCTGTTATTAATGTTGTAATTATTAACTACATAAGCCACTCAATAATTTTTAGCAATGTAATGACAGGATCTAAAGAATTTACCTGACTATGATATGAAGGCAGAACTGAGGGAGGTAAATCTGCCTGAAAGAAATATTAGGACAGAGTAGCGAAGTCCCTTAAGACCCTGAGCTAAGATGGTGCAGGGGCGATGGGAAGGGATGGAGGTGAAAGACAAGAGGAAGGAGAGACATGAACTAGGGTGAGATGAACATAAGCACGGTCTAAACAGTATTGATTGGGAAGTCAAGAAAGATGTTTCCAGAGAAGGAGGCTCAAAGCTGATGAATAAGATGTAGACCAGCAAGGAATTTACAGTGAACCATATACAACTGTCAATTCTTAAGGCTCCTTCAACTTGACAGCCTCAGTGATCCTCAGTGTCCCACAGCCCTGTCATTTCTGTGGGCATTCTGAGTTGAAGGATTCTCCAGCCCTCCCTGGAGTATCCTTGAAATGGAATTAACAATTAAGAAAATACAGTCCTGCCAAGGCACACAGTATAAATAAGACCACAGATTATCCAGGTCTTCAGACAAGGAAAAGCATTATACCACCCCTAGAACTGGAATAAAACAGAAGCAAAAAAGGGATCTCTAATTCTGCCCCACGCTCTATTTTGCCATTAGCCTTTCAGGTGGTAGTCATGACATACTTAGCTAACTTCACCTTGCCCTCAGTTTTATGAGAGAACAAAGATCAAAAGGTAGTTATTTTGCCAAAAGTTTGCTGCAGAAGTTTCTGTAACTAGTAGTGGATTCAACTCTCCATTCTACACATGGCAAGAGAGGTTCTAGCTGGTCTTCCAGTACTTTCCTTAAGAGACAGAAACCATTACTGTGTTCAGTGTTCACTTAATACAGTGGGTAAAACCCATCAGATTTCTCTTTAGATTTAGGTGAAAGAAAGTGAAAGTGAAAGTGAGATTGCTCAGTCGTGTCCGACTCTTTGCAACCCCATGGGACTGTAGCCTACCAGGCTCCTCAGTCCATGGAACTTTCCAGGCAAGAGTACTGGAGTGGGTTGCCATTTCCTTCTCCAAGGGATCTTCCCAACCCGGGTCTCCCGCATTGCAGGCAGACACTTTACAGTCTGAGCCGCCAGGGAAGCCCAGATTTAGGTGAAAGGAAACTTAAATCTAGATGAAAGGAGAATTTCCTCTCCTCCGTCATGAAAAGTGCCCCATCTCTCTACCAGGCCCATAAACTATAAATTCAACCACAAAAACCAATGGCAGTAAGAATCTCAACAGTTCAGAAACTAGTACAACTAGACACTTGTTATTGACAGTGGAAAGTTTACAGCTCAACCTCAGGTGGTTTGAATATGTTGCATCACTGAACTCTATCATAATGAGTTAACATCTAATTAAATAGTGAGTGCAGGAGACATCTCAGTATAGTGGAAGGAGCTAAAGATTTACAGTCAGAAAGACTATTAGTAAAAATCCAGCTCAGCAATCTTCTACTGACCCTGGGAAGGTTCCTGAATATAGGCTGCAGTTTCTTCATCTGTAAAATGGAGATAACCTCACAGCACTGCCATCAAGATGGTGAAGATTAAATAACAGCCTATGGCATCCTAGACTTACAGCATAACTATTAGCTATTACCAAAACTAACTCTCAGTAATGATAATGCAATAAATCTCCTTTTTGCTAAGTAATAGTTTTTGTTATAAATAAAGTTAAATGCCTATTGCTATAATGGTGGAAATTACATTTCAGTTTCTTGGAAGCAAGACAGCATAGTAGAGAAGATGAGCTGGAATTCTAGTTCTGCCAGAATAATCTTGAAAAATTGGTTAACCTGCTGGAGCCTCAGTTTCCCATCTGGTTAGAAATACCGAGCTAATAAGGCTATTGTAATGTTTAACAAGGCTTCTCTGGTGGATCAGCGGTAGAATCTGTCAGCCAATGCAGGAGAGGCAGGTTTGATCCTTGAGTTGGGAAAATCCTCTGGAGAAGAAAATGGCAACCCACTCCAGTATTCTTGCCTGGAAAGTTCCAATAGACAGAGGAGCCTGGTGGGCTACAGTCCATAGGGTCGCAAAAAAGACAGACGTGACTTAGCAACTAAACAACAACAGCAATGCTTAATGAGGTCATCTATACAAAGTTCCTACTACATTTCCAGCTCTCAGTAGGTGCTGGATTAATAGTAGTTATTGGTATTTGTTCAGTTTCCCAACAGAAAAACAAAAGAATAAACATGAAAATCAAAACCAGTATGAGATCACCATTCCTCATATTTTACAGAGAAGTTTTCATCAGTCATTCCATAAATATATCTTTTGTACCTACTGTGTGTCAGGCACTGTTGCTGACATTGGGATTGGGGTGATGGACATTCTAGAGTGGGGTAAACAGTAAACAGTCTAAGGAAACAATATCAGAGAGAGATGAGTGCTATGAGGAATACCAAAAAGGGTGGTGTGCCCACATGTTGATGGAGGCGATGGTCATTTAGCTTGGGTGCATTTTAGCCCAGGCCTACCTAGTTTGTCTCCTTGGGCCAGAACGGGGACTTCACCTTGTATGATGCTTGGTAGTACAGTATAGATGATCAGAAGTTAGACCTACACCTTTATCTGTGGATGGATCTCTTTAGCAGCAGCAGCTTAAAATATTTCTAAATGCCTTCATCCCAGTACTCAAACTCTAAGGGTCAGCACGAGTGTGGGGGTGGGGTGGGGGATGGTGGCGGTGGTTCAGACGCACCTCAGCGCAACCCTCAGGCACATCGAAAGTGACAACTTCACAGCTCCCTCAGCTCAGAGTCCTGACGAAGGAGGAGACTGGTAGTTTGTGAGACGGAGGAAGGAGAGTACAAACTGCATTACCGAAAGAGGGCGGCGCGCGCCGGTTTAAGAAGTAGCTGGACGATCTATGACAATGCCCATTAGGGGCTCCAGAAGCTGCAAACGCTTCTCTGGAAGCCCGAAGGGACAAGGACCCTCGGTCCCCGGTCGGGGTGCAGGGAAGCGGAGCAAGACGGGCGCGGGGAGGCGGGCGAGCCCGGAGCCTACAAGACCTGCGTCTCCCGTGTCCCCGCGGCGCGCTCCAGCCCGCGGATGTGGTGCAGCCTCGCGCTCGGCCCAATTAAACTGGTTTCCTGTACCTCTCGCCCCGGCGCCGCGTCTCCCGGCTGCCCAGGACAGCCCTCCGGCGCCCCGACCCAAGCTAGGCGCCTTCTCGCCGTCAATCCCAACCAAACTGTGCCTCTAAGGACAGCACTTCACGGTGGGCACCACCCGGCCCCCTAACTCCCCGGATGCCGGCACGAGTGCGACTCGGGGCTGCCCCGCTAACAGTTCTTCCTCGGGCGACAGGAGGCAGTCTCCAGATTCTCGCTGAGACTGGCTGCGTCCCCACCCCCCCAACCTCAGCCCTTCGGAGTCCACGCCATCGGCCAGGTTCCCACCGCACTCTAGCACTATTTTAGTTGGCGTCCTAGTGCTTACCTGCGCGCTCAGCCGCCGGGGACGCCGCCTAGTTTCCCCGGTGCCCGGCTCCGGGGTTTGTCCGCAGAAGCGAAAGGAGGCAAACCTGGCTTCTTCGGTCCTCCAGCAACGCACAGCTGATAGTTCCCGCCCCGGCTGCAGCAGACAGCGGCGGGGACGGACTCGCCGACGGCTGCCGGGGTCAGAGCCGGCGCTGCGCACTGGCCTTCTGGCTCCCAGCTCGCCTGGTTCCGCGCGGCTCCTGCGTGCAGCGAACGCTCGGCCAGTTCCCAGTACTTTGCCCAGAACTTCGCGCGCGCAGCCAGTCAATTAGCAAGAGGGGAGGGAGGGGCGGGAGCGATGAGGAGGAGCCTACGCCGGCCCTGGGGCGGGGCCACGCGGGGGGGGCGGGAGGGACGGCCGAGTGACCCACACTCCCAGCAATCAGGAGTAGCCCACGGTAAAGAGGCGGGGCGATGCGCCTGGAAGGAGCGTCGGTTCCATGACGCAGTCAAGGGAGTTGGGAACCCGGTTCCCGACAGGTGCGAAGGACAGAGAGAGGTGGGAGCTGCCTCTGGAAGAAGAAAGTGGTTCTCGGCGGTCCAGAGCGCACTGTGAGCGCCGTTTAAGCACTCAGATGTTCGAGGAGCAGCGTTTCCGGGCCAGGGAGGGAGAAAGAAGTGAGGGGGGCGCGGGAGGGCCTGGTTAAAGGACAAGATTTAAGGGGAGACTCTGGTCGAACAGGCAAAGAGGACTCGACTTCTTCCGGAACACAGACCGAGGCCAAGGGATGGAGAATCGAGAAAACACATGGTGAAGGGAGGTTTGCAGGCACCGGATGTCGAAGGACAGAATCCCCGTAGGATCCGGCGGGAGGCTGTGACCCCCCCCCCACATCCAGAGGCAGTGATGCAGACTGGTGCTGGATCCCAGGAGGGGACAGGGCGGAGGGAGTGTGGTTCTCTGTTCTACGTAGTTCAACTGCGAGGTGGAGGGGAGAGAGAGCATCACAGTTACAATGAAAAAGCCGGCGCTCCCCCTCGACTTGATTGCCCACTTCTCTGCCTCCTTTGATCCTAGCATGATCAGGTCTCAGTTTGGAGACTGCAAGCCTATCGAGTGCCGCAGGTGGGGGGATGAAAAGGAAATTAACATTTACTGAGCGCCTACTGTGTGCTTCCGGAGCAGCTGTGGGCGTGCAGCTATGATAATGGCACACCAGGTTCCCGCTCTCTTGGAGCTTACGCTTCTGTTGGGAGACAGACCATGAACAAAGAAGGGCACATGCAAATATAAACACATGAGAAAGTGCCGAAAAACAATGAGCACTGAGGGGTGACTGCTAAGCAGAGGTTTAAAAAGAGACGGGTGTAATGGGGGGCTGTGAAATCCTCTGAGGGCCTCACAGCGAAGAAGACTTTTACGCAAATTCCTGAACCGGGGAAAGTTGCTGCCACGCTCGTCTCAGAGCGTTCCAGGCAGAGGAAAGGCAAATGCATGGTGTTTAATCTCCGTGAAAATACTTCTAACCTAGCTCACCAAGCCGGACAGTAAGTGTGGCTCGCTAGGCGCGCTGCCTGGCACAGAGTAGGGGCTCCAGAATATTAAATTCCAGTGCCATCCACCACCTGCGGCACTAGATACATTTCCAGCCTCCTAAATGACCCCAATTAAGGTTTCTGAGGCTCTTGCCGCAGCCACGCTTTCCACATTTCATTCACTGCACTCGATTCTCCGCTTTCTGTGGTCTCGGGATATCTGGGGCTGTCTGTCTTGGATCTGGCAGGGGGCGAGCGAGGGCGGGAGGATCCCAGCGAGCTGCAGAACTAACCCACCGTTGTGCTACCCACGCTGGCGCTCGAAGAATCCTAATAGAGATTTAAAACACGATGACTTGGAGGTTCTTAAATCATCCGCCTGCACCCAGTCAATGCCGGGTGGATGAACGCCAGGCGCCCGGACCATTCATTTTGAATTCAAGGAGTTACCCTGCCCACGCCTGTCGTTTTCCTAACCCTTCTTCCATTTTTCAGTAATTGCTCTAGGAAAGAGAAGCTCAATCTTTCCCCTGTCCTCCTGCTTCAAGCTCTTTTATTTCTCTTTATTTCTTTTCCTTTCTCCACCTCCCATCCTCACCCTGTTTCATTAGAATTGCTTTTACTTTGGGATGCAAGCCTTAAAATCCGAAAAGAAGTTATTTGAATATGGCTTTATTGTTGAAACTGCCATCCCAGTTTGTTTTTTGTTTTGTTTTGTTTTGCTTTTCCTTTAATTTCTTTCAAACAACAAAGTGTGTATTTTTTTTTTTCTATTTGTACTTGAGGCAGTTAATTGGACAGGATGAGAATTACTCATATTATACCTTGCTTCCAAGAAAAAAGGAATCTTACTGTGTCTTTTCATAGTTTCATTTCCTCTATTACTCCTAAATAAGCTTCCAGACTTACCAGCTCCTAAAAACAAAAGGAAATAAAGTTACACACCAAGCAGAGCTAATTGTTCTTGAACAAGCTTGTTATGTCCTAAAATTAGCTTTCTCTTCAGAATTTTATTTTAAAGCAAGGATCTGAATGTCTATTCCAGAGAAATCAATGGTTCTATAATATGAGCTTCTAAAGACCCTCTTTGAACTGTTGAACAGATACTTTTTATCCTTGGAGACAAACACATACCCCAGTGGGGATTGTTCATATGGGGATTGTTCATACTTTGCTGAATGTTCCTATCTTCAGAAATCTGTATTAGGTAAGCAGGTGTTAAAAGAGTTGACATGCTTTGATAGTAAAAGAAGATGATGGTACAGGAGTTTAATGGAGGAGGAACACCAGAGGCCTCTAGAATCAACTACCTGGGTTCCTGTCTTAAGGTGGAGACTTCCTGACTCTGAGAGCACTGTTCTTTTTCTGCAAAATGGAGACAGAGGGCTTCCCAGGTGGCTCAGTGATAAAGAGTCTGCCTGCCAAGCATGAGATACAGGTTTGATCTCTGGGTTGGGAAGATCCCCTGGAAAAGGAAATGGCAACCCACTCCAGTATTCTTGCCTGGGAAATCCCAGGGACAGAGGAGCCTGGTGGGCCACAGTTCATGGGGTTTCAAAGTGTCGGACACGATGAGTGACTGAACAACAGTGTGCATCCTCCGATTTATTTATTTTCTTAATTGAAGGATAATTGCTTTACAGAATTTTGTTGTTTCTGTCAAACATCAACAGGAATCAGCCATAGGTAAATATATGTCCCCTTCCTCTTGAACCTCCCTACCATCTCCCTCCCCATCCTACTCTGGATTGTCACAGAGCCCCTGTTTGAGTTCCCTGAGTCAGCAAATTCCCATTGGCTATCTATTTTACATATGGTATTGTAAGTTTCCATGTTACTGTCTCCAAGCACTCACCCTGTCCATCCTCCCCTCCCCCTGTGTCCATAAGGCTGTTTATGTTTCTCCATTGCTGCCCTGCAAATCAATTCATCAGTATCATCTTTCTAGATTCCATATATATGCGTTAGTATATGATATTTCTCTTTCTGATTTATTTCACTCTGTGTAATAGGCTCTAGGTTCATCCACCTCATTAGAACTGACTCAAATGCATTCCTTTTTATGGCTGAGTAATATTCATTGAATATATGTACCACAGCTTCTTTATCCATTCATCTGTCGATGGACATCTAGATTGCTTCCATATTCTAGCTGTTATAAATAGTGCTGCAGTAAACATTGGGGTACATGGGTCTTTTTCAATTTTGGTTTCCTCAGTGAAAGTGAAAGCGGCTCAGTCATGTCTGACTCTTTGCAACCCCATGGACTATACAGTCCATGGAATTCTCTAGGCAAGAATACTGGAGTGGGTAGCCTTTCCTTTCTCTCATGGTTCTTCCCAACCCAGGGATTGAAACTGGGTCTCCCACATTGCCTACAGATTCCTGGTTTCCTCAAGGTATATGCCTAGTAATAGGATTGCTGGATCATATGGTGTTTTTATTCCTAGTTTTTTAAAGAATCTCCATACTGTCTTCCATAGTGGCTGTATGAATTTACATTCCCACTAACCAAAAGGGTTTCCTTTTCTCCACACCCTCTCCAGCATTTATTTGTAGACTTTTTGATGATGGCCATTCTGACCAGTGTGAGGTGATATCTCATTGTAGTTTTGATTTGCATTTCTCTAATAATGAACAAAGTTGAGAATCTTTTCATGTGTTTGTTAGCCATCTGTATGTCTTCTTTGGAGAAATGTCTGTTTAGGTCTTTTTCCCACTTTTTGACTGGGTTGTTGTTTTTCTGGTGTTGAGTTCTATGAGCTGCTTATATACTTTGGAAATTCTTTATCAGTTGTTTCCTTTGCTATTATTTTCTCCCGTTCTGAGAGTTGTCTTTTCACCTTGTTTGTAGTTTCCTTTGCTGTGCAAAAACTTTTAAGTTTAATTAGGTCCCACTTGTTTATTTTTTTAATTTCCATTATTCTAGGAGGTGGGTCATAAAGGATCTTGCTTAGATTTATGTCATTGCATATTCTGCCTACGTTTTCCTCTAAGAGTTTTATAGTTTATGGTCTTACATTTAGGTCTCTAATCCATTTCGAGTTTATCTTTGTGTATGGAGTTAGGAAGTGTTCTAATTTCATTCTTTTACATGTAGCTGTCCAGTTTTCCCAACACTTATTGAAGAAGCTGTCTTTGCCCCATTGTATATTCTTGCCTCCTTTGTAAAACATAAGGTACCCATAGGTATGTGTGTTTATTTCTTGGCTTTCTATCTTGTTCCATTGGTCTATATTTCTGTTTTTGTGCCAGTACCATACTGTCTTGATGACTGTAGCTTTATAATGGAGTCTGAAGTCAGGAAGATTGCTTCCTCCAGCTCCATTCTTCGGTCTCAAGATGGCTTTGGCTATTTGGGGTCTTTTGTATTTCCATATGAATTATGAAATTTTTTGTTCTAGTTCTGTGAAAAATGCCATTGGTAATTTGATAGGGATTACACTGAATCTTTAGATTGCATTTGGTAGTAGAGTCATTTTCACAATACTGATTCTTCCTACCCAGGAACATGGAATATCTCTCCATCTATTTATTTGATTTCCTTCAACAGTGTTTTATAATTCTCTGTATATAGTTCTTTGCCTTCTTAGGTAGGTTTATTCCTAGACATTTTGTTCTTTTTTGT